GAGTCCCAGGAAGAAATCCTTTGGGTTACAGGGCCAGGGATTTAATTGCAATCAACGTGGTGCCATTGTTGAGCTATCAAGAATTCTCAACCCATTTTAACTTTGAACGTTGTTTTGCTCTCAACAGCATTTTTATCCAGATTTCTTCAACTATTTAGTACCCTATGGAGCTAGGAGTTGAAGCTAATATATTAAACAGATTTTTGGAAGGAGAAAAAAACAAAAAAGAGATCTTGCTTATTTATTTATGAGCTTCATTAAGCAGGTCTTGTTTCCTTATTTATATAATCAGAGTAGATGCCTTTACCTTACGAAGCAGAACACACTATAAATAATGGCTCAGAACAGAATGCTGGCAATTTTTAAATTAAAAAAAAAAAAGAAAGAAAACACGGACAGATAGAAATTATCATTGTTTTCAAATGGGGTTGCTCTAGTTTTAAAATTTGACCATCTGACATCTAATAAGGTGTAGAAGGCTCGCTGTTATTCTAAAGCTACCTTGGCAATTTTTGTGGAAGCTAAGCCAGTTTTCAGTTATGGCAAAATATGCAGAGAATAGAGGTTAATAGTGTTGTGGAGTTCACACTGCCCAAATTTGAATCTCAGATCTTCCAAATATTAACTGTGTGACGTGGGCAGATTGCTTCACCTCCCTGTTTCTCAGTTCCTTCATTTTAAAAATGAAAATAGTGGCCAAGAAAGCGTTAAATGAGGTACCGCATGTGAAGTGTTCAGAACAGTACTGTGTTCAGATTAACGTTCAATACACATTAGCTCTTCTTCTTTCATAGACAAGTCACCTACCCTTATTTCAACTACCTTAAGGAAATTTGATCAGAAATTTTTTGGATGAATATATATTCATGTGGAAGAGGTTCCTGAGTCAAGTGAAATTTCGACTGTGTGTCTAAGTGACTGTAGTTCTGATTTGCTGGAGCTTCACACTCCGTGAAGCCTAAGAACGGTGTCACGAAAGGTAGTCAGGTTTCTGATGGGGGCTGGCTCTCCTCTGGCAGGCATTTGGAGACAGTGAAACTCATCACCGAGGGGAGTGGCATGAGAAGAGCAGCTGAGGCCCTGGGGTGTCTGGCTGGACACAGAGGATGCTCTGTGAGGAGAATTGTAGTGGTCACAAAAGTGTCTGTGGGCTGACTTCTTCTCAGGTATTTAGTAATTACTTTCTAAGATGAATGACTGGTATCCCTGATTCTAGATTTTGGTACCATTTAGGTCTTAAAAGTTTTGACCATGACCTGTTTTCTCGTCAGATGACCAGGTGGTGTTCCCAGTCACATTTTCTCACAGATCAGAGTTCCTGAGTTTGATGAGCTGAGGTTGCCTCAGTTTCTTCTAATTTTGCTTGTGAAGCTGAAAATTACATGCTGAAATTTCATAATTTGGGGGACAAAATAAATGGATTCTTAGCACAGGAAACGGAACTGGGATATCACTTCGTCATTTACTGATAGATACCAAGGATGGGAAGTATGGGCGGCAGACTTACACTGTGTAAGGCCCCCTAAGTTCACCCTGTTAGTTATCATCGAGCAGAGCCAGCAATGAAATCAAGATATCCCAATCCAACTCAGAAAAAGTGGAAAGAAAACTGAGGATCTCTTTGTTCCACATTTCATGGCTGCTGCCCATACGTGGACCACCATACTTCACAGACCAAAGAGTAGGGAAGGAAACATTTGTACTCACACACCTCGCTGATGGCAGAGTCTAGTCTCAAGCTCAGGACTCAGCGCAGTTCAGCGTCCCTAATCCAGTCACTCTCAAATCATAGTGAGGATACCAGCCAACCCCTTGCTTGTAAAAATCACCCCATACATGCCTGTCAGATGTGTGTAAATAAATTTATTTATCGAATAAATATACTTTTTTTTATCATGCTCCATTTTTGTGGGTTAAAATCTGTCTGGTTGATTTTTTTCTTCCTATCACACACATCTGAATAGACAATTCATGGCATTGGGACAAGGGTAAGGCAGGTTTATGGACAGGAATAGTCTTTTCTGTGTTATAGTTTCTCTATGAATCACCCTGAAGTTTCCGGAAATAGTATCTTAATGTGAAAAAAAATATTCAGTGGGCAGAAACTTATTTAAAGACATTCAACCCATTTTGCCCACAGAACACATCGGAGTGCCTCATTTCCCAGCAGCCTTCCCTGGCTGCTCAATAAACATGGCTTGGCTTGGGTTCTGCCGAGCAGCGCTCACTCATTCATACTTGAATAACTGGTGACTGGGTGCCTAGTACAGGCAAAGTAAGAGCAGAATTCCTGCAACCTGAGTAGCTCAGGAAACAGCAGTTTTCATGAGCTCTTCAAATGCTCTTAAGTCAAGCGGCGCAACGACTTAAAAACACAAAATTATGAAGCTATCTGCAGCCACTGCCGCACAAGTTTGATCCTACAGGATGCAGAAGACCTCCCCCCTCTCCCCACTGCTCCGCTCGGCAGTATATTTCAGTAGATCCGCCTATTCTGCTCCCCACTCTGCCACTGTGTCTCTGGAGAATCCTCTCACACCCCATCCTCCGCACCTCTGGCCTATACCCCCGTTCTTGTATGCATCAGTAAATAAATCTTTTTAAAAATAGGCTTGACAAGCTAAGAGTTTCATGCTACAACCTCACTGCATGCTCACCTGCAGCAAAACAGGTAAGGGCACCTGCATGTTATTCCCTCTGGAGGTTTTTTTTTTTTTTTTTTTTTTTAAGATTTATTCATCTATATATAAAAGAACTGGGGTACAGGCCAGAGGCCAGAGATGTAGGTGGATGAAAGGATTCAACAGAGACAGAGTGAGGAGCAGAACAGGTGGATTGACTGAGATACATTGCTACATTGCTGAGGGGAGCAGTGGTGGGTCAGGAGAGGTCTGCCACGCCATGTAAGTCACCTCCCTGGTTGGGGATTGAACTCCTGCTGTAGTGGCTTCGAATAGCTTCATCTTGCTGTGCTTTAACCCCTTGTGCCACCAGAGAGGGTCCTGGAGCTTGTTTTATAGTAGGCATACATCATCTTCTCCAAACGAGAAGCTTCTGACGCCCACAACACCAAACCAGTTGTGCTTGGTAAACCATCTCACTAAGAAGCAGAGATAATGAAGAGCCGGACACAGTACACACTGCAGGAACTCTGTAGGTTAAAGAAAGTATTTTCCTTGAGGGAATGGTGAGCCACATCTCTGCACACACAGTAGGCCTTTGACCTGGTGTGGCATCCTGTCAATGATGCGAGGAGAAACTGTCAGTATGTGGTCCAGAGGCAAATGTCCTTCCTCTCGGACATACGGGGACTGTCACTTTCTTTTCAACTGAAATCATACCTGACATTAGCTAATATCTAATCCTGTGCTATCTGAGCTATCATTTAATAAGAATGTTTTCTCAGATACAGAGGAAGGAGTGGTAGGAAAGGGTTACTGAAAGAGATAGAAGCCAGAGCAGAGCATTAAGGCAGGAGACAGAAAAATCTAGGTTCTGACCCAGATCTGCTGTGTCAGAGATGCGTGGCCCTGAGCAAATCGTTTAACTTCTCTCAGACCCAGATTTCACATCTGAAAATTGAGGATAATTACATTTGTCCTAATTTTGAGAGTTGGGAGCCTGGAGTGAGACCTATAATGCAGGCAGGTGAGCTTTGTGATCTCTCCAAGGTGAAACTGTCACAGACAGTGTACTTGAGAGGCAGCTTAAGAGTGAACTTGGTTATTTGATACCATGTGAGTAATTCACATCCATGAAATATGGAAAACAATGTGCACGTGAATACTTGGTCTGAATTCTTTCACATAAATATAAAAATGCTGAGTCATGCCACAATTTTGAACCAGATTCGAGGCTGGAAGCATAATTCTCAGAGTGCATTGACAAGCCCGCATTTATACTTACCTCCCTGTGGAAAGAACTGCGAGTAAATCTCTTTGAAGGTTTCTTCATTAACCACACCACTGGGGCATTCCTACAGAAGGCGGCAGAGAAGAAGGGGAGCAACATGTTCACAAAATTGATTTTGTTTTGCACAATTAGAAAAAGAACTGTCTACCTTGCAAAGCTGCTCTAAAAAGATCCTGTCTGCGCATTACTGCCAAGACTAACAACAGCCTTCCAGGTCCCACAGCCAGAAAAAAAAATGACAGTTGCAAAAATCTTCGCATACAGTGTCAAAGCTGCTCTGACATTAACAAACTGACTGCTGATCTGAAGAACACAGCTTCACTGTCAAGGAAGAAGATGCTTTAGGTCACTTTTCCCGCGGCACAGACATTACAAGGAGATTTTAGCATGGCCTTTGTTGGAACTTGTGTTATATTCTTGGTGACTCGCTGGACCCACAGATGCTTTTGTTCCATGAGAGAAAAGTCTAGTGTCCTACGAAGTTTCGAGTAGGAATGAATGAACTTAGCTAACAGTACACAATAAACTGGCCTTACCCTGCCAGTTATAAATAAATAATTATAACAAGTGACTGTGACTAAGACAGAACCTCAAGATTTTTTTAATTTCTGGAGAGGAGGGTTTGAAAAGAAACAGGCTGGGCATAATGCATTCCTGTTCTTCATCCCGTGGGTGCATTTATTTACGATTGCTGCACTAACTTTAGATTGTCTGGGAATGTTGGATGATATACCTGGGGTGTCCAGAGTACATAGGGTATTTTCTCAAAAAGGTGCTGAAATGTAGACTATTAGAAGACTCTGCCTTGGTGCAGAAAGGAGACCTAAGAAGTAGACCATGGACCAAAGTGAGGATAAAACTTTATCTGCACCCTGGATTTGTAAGAAACATCTGCTGGACAGGGGAAGGGGGAGGGGGAAGCACAGGGTCTCTGGTGGGGAGCATTTGTACTTTGGTGGTCCAGTGCCTGTTGGGGCGAATCCTACACTTCTCTTGTGGGAAACGATATAAACCAATATTAACCCAATAAAATATTTTTTTTAAATGTGCAAAATGCCAGTTAACTAGAAAACACACACACAAAGACAATTCACAAAACAGGAAATGCAAATAAGTCATAAGCAAAAAAAAAAAAAAAATAATCTCAAAAAAAGAGAAGCCTGGTCAGGAATTGGAGGTTCAGCTCCTCCTGGCACAGTGAGGGCTGATGGTCACGTCAAGTCACTTGTGGGCTGTGGATGGTCCACTGATGGCAGGGAAGTGAAGCTTCCCCAGACCCGTAAAACCCGGGGTCCCTGGGCTCCAGTGTCCTGGCAGCATCCCCACGTGATCTGTATCAAGTCCCACGTTCACCACGGAGATTGGGGAGCTGCTAACGTCTCTGATTTTAGACAAAAAGATTCTGTGTGCTTTAACTTTGCCATTGTCTCTGAGGTCCTCAAAAATCATCTCTTGTGTTTAAAGTTTCACTTAGCCTTCTCCTCTCGAGAATCAACTTGATTTATCCATTGGCTCTTCTGTTTTCCAGTCAACCACTCACAGCAGTGATGTGGCTCCTTCACAAGGACAGTTTTCTGCTGTCTCATTCTTTGGTGTGAGAGGGAAGCCTTCAATACATAAGCACAATTTAAAATAATAGTTTCAAGGTATTTGCAGCGCCTGCCCGTCAATGTATATTTCTCCCACATGATCATTGTAACCACCTATGACTTAGGGCTCTTTAGTCACAGAGGCAGAACTTGAGATTCTGAGGACAAAGCCTCTGTGACTCGGTAGTCAGGGAGAGAGCCGGAAGGCAGGGTTGGACTATCTACAAGGTCGCCACTAAGTTTTGCATTTGATGAATGCTGTAGAAATGATAATGGCCCCATAGATGTAAGAGGACTGGAACAAAGAAAATAAAACTAAAAGCAAATGAACAAACGAAAATCAAACCAGCAAACTGTGATGGTTACTTTTTTGCGTCAACTTGTGTTTGTGAGCTGCGAAGGCCAAATGTTTGGTCAACACTATTCTCAATATTCCTGTGAGGGTGTTTTTGCATGAGATTGATAATTATGTCGGTGCATTCTGAACATAATATGATGCCCTCTATCACATGGTTGGCTGGTCTCAGTGGAAGGTATGACCTGAAGAAATGGCTCATCTCCCAAAAAGAAAGAATTCTCCAGCCAACAGCCTCCTGGCACAATGACTTTTCCTGGTTCTACAGCAGAATGACTGAACGTGAACTACAAATCTCACTTTAGTCTCCTCTTCCTGAATCTCCCTGTCCCCCCCCCCATCAGATTTTGGATTGATTACGTCTCCATAAGCGTGTGAGTTAACTTCTGAAAATGAATCTCAGTCTTTAGATTCCCATCTACTGGTCCTGTTTCCCTGGAGAATATTGCTTAGTATGTAAACAAAGGAACAATCAACACTTCCAACGCCAAAGAGGAAAGAAGGTGGTGATCAAACATTTTAGCTAGACAAGTCATCTGGTTTTAGTCATTTACATAGACTAAATGATGCTATCTAGTTGGCAGCCAGAGAACCAATTTTAACACCAAATAAGCACTTTGTAGTTGGGCCTTCTCACACATGGAAATTGTGATTTATTGGTCACTTAACTAGGAGCCATCTGCTTGGGATGGTTAGCAGAGTGCTAATAGATGGCCTTCTGCCATCAGGAGGCAAATTTGTGCAAGGTCGGAGCTGGGAATTTGCGTTGGAGTTAGCATGAGGCAAACACGAGATGAAGATGGGAAGTGAAGGGACATCTGTCCTCACTAAACTTGTCAGCTGTCTTTGGCCTCTAGATGCATTTTATATTATAGCTATAGATTATGATGCAGAACGATATTTAAAAATTGTCTCTTATGTGTTTGTATTATGTTTATTCAAATTCTGTGTCAGATGAAATCTGTTCTCTGCCAACAGAAAGCTCCTGCAAAGTTTTAGGACAGGCAATTATAAGCAGGTGAATTAGTCTTTTTCCATCTCACATTCTTTATATTAATTTCCATCTCACCTGATATTTTTTTTTGCTTTTGTTCCAAGAACACTTAAAAAGGGAGGGGGAGGGGGCAGAAACAAGCAAGGTCAATATCTTGCTCTCCTGGGATCTGCTTCCAAAGAGAAGAACAATAAAAAACAAAAGACCCAGAGAGTGATAATCTTATATGAAAGAGTATAAAATGTTCTTAAATTAAGGCAATGAATTTTGCTACCTTCAGGTGGGAAAAAATAAACAAATACTATTTAATCCTCTGTATGATGGTACAAATAGCCCATTTCAAATATATCCTCACCTCTCCCATGAAGCAGTTTTTTTTTTTTTTTTTTTTTTCTGGGTCTTCCCAGCAAGAATGAATAGGCTCAGGTCTTGAGAACACGGCAATATGGCTGCAAGTGTGGCTGTAATAGGTTAACTCTTGCAGCTGTAATGAAAAGGCCAAATAAATAACAGACCCAGTATGTAACAAATTAAAAAGAAAGTAGTGTATTTCTTGCTAGTTTAACGGTTTTGGGTAGGTGTATGGTTCAGCTGATGATTCTTTTCAGAGTCACGAAGAGACTCAGGTAATGAAAGCTTGGCCATCTTTGTGGGACTCTAAAGGCAGTGAAATTCTTACTCAGGGAAAGAAAAGGGTTATTGAGCTCACCTGGGAGGTGTTGATGGGCCAGGTCTTATACCACTTCTGAAGTGCTACCAATCACTTCAGAAATCACTTTGTATGTCCACCCCAAACAAGGTCAGTCTTGTGTGCTTGGAAGAAAACACGAGCATAAATTTGTTATATATGTTGGCCCCAGAGACTTATTAGAAATATACTCCAGACATCTGAGCTGTGAAATAGTTCTCTCCCTGATGCTTTCATGGACCTGTCTTCAAATCATTTCACAGTAGAATGTCTTTTCATTTCCCCTCGTGCCTTCTAAAAAATATATTTTCAAGTAAACAAGACCAGTGAGGCTTAAACATCTAAGTATATATTTGTTCCTTAGGTTTTCTTCACTCCAAGGGGAAGGGACCAAGATGTAGTAGTTTCCAAGTTCAGGGAAAGTGTGGAAATTCTCACTTATCTGAGGTGAGGTCAATGAAACCAGCTAACTAGGTGGCTTATTGGAGTCACACAGGTTGTTACAGAGTCATCCATGTGCTGCTGCTTCCGACGAGTGGTCATTTAGTGTGGGCAGTGCAGGAGCGCTGGCTGACCACGTGGGGACCAAAACCCCTCTATTGCTCTCCTGGAACTGGAAGGCCAGTGGGAGCCAGCCCCTACCTCCCTGACTGTTCATGGCAGTGGAATGCTGCCTTCTGGGGGGAGCGGTCCTCATTTTTGCCATTAGCACTGGACAGGTATTTCTCTAGGTGAGCCACTGTGGAGATGCTTCCACTGGGTTGGCACATGGAGTTTACCCACAGAGCCCCACCCTGAGTGCTGGAGAGGGGCATCTGCAAAAGGAAGCTTTTCCCATCGAAACTGGGAACATTCCTTTAAAATAAGTGTTGTGGGGCTCTCTGGTGGCACAAGGGGTTCAGTCAAAGCACTATGAAGCTGTCCGCAGTCACTGCAGCATGAGTTCGATTCCCAGCCAGGGAGCTGACCCACATGGCCCAGCAGAACTCTCCTGTCTCACCTGCTGCTCCCCTCAGCAATGTATTTCAGTCAATCCACCTGTTCTGCTCCCCACTCTGTCTCTGGTGAATCCTCTCACCTCTGCACCTCCTGCCTACGCCCCAGCTCATGTGCACATAAATACATAAATCTTTAAAAATAATGAGTATTAGGGAGGACTATCGGAGCTGTGGTGTTGGGAGAGCTTTGGTGACCACAGCAGAGGGGGCAATTCTACACGGTCTACATTGACCAGGACATAAAAAAAGTAAAAGGGTGAAATAAATATTGTGAAATGTCCTTGGAGAGATTCGGGGGCAATGCCTTTCGTTTCTTCTTTGAGAAAGTTTTCCCTTTAGCTCAGCAAAGACCTGTCTACCATCCCTCCTCCCACATATGTTTTACCTCAATGCTGAATGTCCATCCTAAAGTGCTGGAGGCAAAGTTCCTTTCTTAAGGG